ATTCTTTTTAAAACAATTATCAAATAATAATATAATTTTTTATAATAAAATATTAAATAAACTTATACTAATGACATTTCACAATAATTATAATCACAACTTTTTTTTTTGAACAATTTTAAGATTATATACAAGTATATATGGGGGAGGAGAGAAATGAGTTCCATGGGATTCGAACACACCATTCATAGAGGTGAACAGTCATAACCTAAGGTCTAATACTGGGGCGGAACGCCATTCAATTATAATCACAACTTAAATCTTTTTAATGATAAAAAGGCAACTTATGTAAAGTTGCCAACCCCTTCTGGTAAAAATTTATTTTTAACCCTTCATTTTATTAAATTTAAAGGTTTTAGTTCTTTATCTTATATTATAACATTTTTAGCCCCTCATCTTATTAAATTTGTAAGTTTTAGTCCCTCACCTATTAAAATTAAAGAAAATAACCTCACTTTATATTGACTGTTAACTTTATTAGTTAAAAATAAATTTTTATCAACTAACAGTCAATTAATAGTCAATTAATAGAATTAACAAAATATTATAAAATTAGTTATGTTAATTTTGTTAACTTTAAAAAAGTTTTTGACAGCTAACAGTCAATTAATAATTAGCTAACAAAATTAATAGTCAGTTAATAGAATTAACAACATGTTCCAAAGTGAGGGTTATTTTTTTCAATTTTAATAGGTGAGGCCATAATATAAGGTTATGGACTAAAACTTACAAATCTAATAAGATGAGGGGTTAAAAATGTCATAGTATAAGATGAGGAGTTAAAACCTTCAAACTTGACAAGGTGAGGGGCTAAAAGTAGACTTTTGCCTCTTTTACCGGGCCAATGATAGTAAATGGCAAACCGGCCCAGAAAGTCACTTGTGCAAAAAAACAGGCCTTAAAATAATCGGTTAGGGTCTGAGCCCAACAGATTATGAGTCGAGTAAGGCAATTATAATTGGGCTAACCCAAGTAGAAAGCACCGAATTTCGAAACCAAATAAAAAAATCCCATGCCCTCCAAGTACTTCTTCGTCTACCTAGGGTTTTAGCCATACAAAAACCTTCCCCAACTTTTTCTAACGATGGAAGGGACGCCGATGTCGGCACCGGCTGCAGTTACAGCTCCATGTTGGAGCAACATCGTGAAAAGCCAACCTGAGAAACCTCAAACTGAAATTTCAACGACACCATCAAGCCAAATCTTCGTGGAAAGCTGCAAATCCACCAAGGGAATATCGGTGGCGGTGGTGGACGCCAATGCCGTAATAAAAGGCGGAGAGAGGCTAACGAGCTTTGCTGAAAAATGGGTTACTGTTCCCGAAGTCCTCGCAGAAATTCGCGACCCGGTTTCTCGTCACCGCCTCACTTTCATCCCTTTCACCATCGACTCCATGGAGCCGTCCCCTGAAGCCCTAAATAAAGGTTTTTAATTTCAATCAAATCTGTTTTCTATCTTCTATCTTTATGTGTTATTTGAAGGGGAATTGTGGTTGTTGTTGTTGTTTTTTTTTTTTCTGATTGAATTCATTTCCTTCCCTTCTGTTACTCTTGAATTATGTTTTAACTACTATTCTATTCTCTTTGCATAACTGCTTGGTGAAGTTGAGTAAATAGATATATGCTTTGTGTGACTTTCCAGTTATCAAATTTGCAAGGGCAACCGGTGATTTGCAGACCCTTTCAGACGTTGATCTTAAACTGATAGCTCTGACATACACATTGGAGGCTCAGATTCATGGAACTAATCATCTTAAAGATGCCCCTCCCCCTGTTGAAGTTGTTAACACCAAGAAGCTCCTTGAGAAGGACCCTCTTGGATGGGGCTCCAATGTTCCCAATTTGGAAGAGTGGGAAGCACTGGAACATTT